TGAATGCCTGCAGGGATGGGGCATCCACAGCCTCCTTGGGCAACCTGTTCCAGTGCCTCACCACCCTCAGGACGTCACACTGTGAGCAGTGCTGCAGACCCTGGGACAGCCTGGAACCCGGAGGGATGCTCGTTCAGTTGTGTGCTACTCATAGAATGGGTCAGAACCTTTAGGATCGTGCAGTCTCAACCCGCTGCTGCAGGCAGGGACGCCTCCCCCTGCCCCAGGTTGCTCGCAGTCCCATGCAGCCTGGCCTAGCAGTTTAATTATTCTTGAGGGATAAGAATCAGAACAAACACGGAGCCTAGGGGTATTTCCGAGCTCCTGGGAGCGCTCCCAGCACGAACCACCCCGCTGCACGGCTGCTTTCCCACCGCGACCGCCTCCTCCCGAGGGCTGAGGACGGCCGGACCGCACCCAGCGCGGATCCCGAAAACGCTTCTCATCGAAGAAAAGAAAGCGAGAAGCGGATATCAAAAAGCGCCGTCCCAAAGAAGACCCCAGCAGACGGCCACCACCCAGCGCATCCAGCGCAGCTCCGGAGTTTCCCGACCCCGGGGGGAGCGGAGCTGCGCGGAGGGGCTGCCCAGCCGTGGCGGCTCCCGCTCGGCACCGAGGAGGGAAGCGAGCACACCGACCTGCCCTGAGCTGCTGTTGCTGCTGCTGCTCCTGCCGCTCCGCCGGCCCGAACCCTGCGGAGAAAAAAAGAACGGAAATCCCCGCACCGCGCTCGACCGCCCCACGCCCTGACGGAGCCGCCCGCACGCCCCGCCCTCAGCGCCGCAGCGGTGTGAGCGGAGCGCCCTCTGCAGGCGGCGCGGGGCGGCGCTGCGTGGTCGTTAAAGCTGGGAAAGAGCTCCGCCAGCCCCGAGTCCCGGCCGGACACCGTGCCCGCCGAGCGCGTCGCTCTGCGGCGGTTGCTCAAGAGCCGGGGGGTTGTTTGGGCTGTGCTCCTGTTTGTACAGCAGCGCGGTGCACTGGGCTGATCCCGTGCCAGAGCTTCTGGGTGTGTAAAAAATGGGGGAAACCCGCATTGGAGGCACCGGCTGCAGGCCTGGCAGCAGCGCCCACTGCATGGCAGTAATCGTGGAATTGTAGGGGTTGGCAAGGACCTCTGGGGGTCACTCAGTCCACCAGCAGTGGCAGCAGAGCACAGCTGGAAGGGCTTTATATCCCCCATTCCAAAATCTGGGCTTTTGGTGCCCGGACTGTACATCCAGCTGGACTTCTGACATGGATTTCCAGCTCTCAGACTGTGCTGTTGAAAGCCCTACGTGTAGATGTAGAAGTGAGATTACATAAAGAATGATGGCATTCATAATCCTAATAGATATGGCACCCAACAAAGGGCTCTGTCAAGGGAAGAACAACCTTTTTTTGGCTGAAATCCACGTCAGCCCTTCTATTCCAAATAATCTGTACAGCTGTATTTAAACAGGAATATCTTTGCAGTGCCCCCCGGACCTGCTGGTGCTGCCAGTGCTGCCCATTCACTCCACTGGTAACAGCAATTAAGGATCCAAGAAAGGAAGCAATCTAATGAACAATCCTGGGGTCTTTGTGGGATATGTACTTTCAAGCATGAATATTTTAAAGTATTTTGATAGGAAGGAATGTTGTATAATTTACTGAATTTTTAATACAATTTTACTTTTATTCTCATTGTTTCTGTAGTTACTGCTGTCTAGCTAATTAACACAGGGTTGGGAGGATGATTAAAGCAAAGCTCAGTGTCTGCATTGTGCTGGTTTAATTGCTGCTCAAGCCATGGCTCTGTGTTGGCTTTGGCAGCTGAGCAGTGCTTGCCTGGCACTGAGGAAGTCCCGTTTGTGTCCGTGAGACTCATCTGCTGCTGAGTGGTGAAGGCATGCAGCTTTGTGCACATCTCCAGTAGGACACAGGCTTGGGGAAGAGATGGATTCTGTTGCACACCTCAAAACCATTTGGCTGAGATGCCCGAATGGCTTTGGTTATGACAGGGCAGGATGGTTGGGGTCTGCTCTGCTTCACAGAACCATTATGGCTAGAAAAGAACTCTAAGGTAACCAAGTCCAACCCAACCTCACCGTGCCCACTGACCACATCCCTCAGCCCACAGCTGGCTCTGAGAGGGCACAGGGAGCAGCAGGGCTCAGGCCACCTGGGGAAAGGCATTGTCCATGCAAGGAACCCACACAGCGTGTACCCCGAAAGCTGGGGATGACCCTGGGGCGTGCAAGGGCAGCAAGCACAGAGATCACACGGGTGGATGGAGAGGGTAAAATAACAACGCTGTGAGAGGAGCACACTCCTGGGAACGGTTTGTGCCAGGTCCTGAGGGCACTAGCAGGCCTCGAGGGACCTGAGCAGTGAAAAAGTGAATAAAGAGAGGACAATGTAGTGATAGACAGGCAATTATCCCATAAATGTAAACTACGCTGAAGAGATATGTACAGCATTATATATTTATGGATACAATTTTGTTCTACTGACACATAACAAAATGAATAATACATTAGCCCTAGAACTTGTCATTAAATGGATTTCTTTGTTGTCTTGCCATTAAAATAAAGTCCTTGGTCTGTAGATGTGTGTGACATTAATCCCTTTCTCAGTGTACAGTACTCCAAGACTGTAAATTTGAAGTAGATCTTGTAATTTTTGAGGTGAAATGATTCTAATGAAATTGAAGACGTTCAGGAAGGTTTCACAGATCTCTTCTGTTGATGGGATGTGAGAAATGAACTTTCAGTGTACGAGGCAAGAGAGAACCCAGAGCTTCAGGAATGGGGGCAGGAAAAGCTGAGGCTGCTGAGCAGCTGCAGGGGGTGTTTGCTCCACCAGAGATGTTCGAGAGAGCAAAAATCACAAAGCAAATCAGGCTGGGTAACGAAGCAGCAATCTTTTGTTACCTGTAATGGAACTGAAAGGAGTGTTTTGCTACCAGGCAGTTCCTAATTATGAGGTGTTGAAGCATTTCTCTCAGGGAAGTAAAAACAAAACAGAAAATGTTGGGTGTGCCTAGACCTGATGGCTCTTGCTCAACATAATGAGGTGGGTTACCTCACCTCTTGAGGCCTTTCCAATCCTACATTTATATGGTTTCACGCTCACTCCACGCACAGACTTTCTTCTGCAAATCTAGCCAACAAAATTATGTTTGGGAAAGCGATTCACATAGGCATCCTAGCGGTGGTATTAATTAATTTAAATAACCTCTCCCATGAGGTTATTGTTGACTGGTTTCCTTAAGTTACAGAACAACTGCGACTGCTTAGCTCTGATGCCATTACTGCCATTAGAGCTCCTGATGGAAGCACTGTTCCATATGTTTCTGTTTTTCAAAGCACTGTGCTCATCTGTGAGGTATAGAATCAGCAGAGGTAAGCTTTTGAAGTCTAACACCCTGAGCAGATGTTTCAGTTGTATTTAAATACTGACTCTTACTGTGGCATCTGCCCATTGCCAAGAGGAGGAGCTGCTCGCAGGAAAGGCAGGAGCTCATTGCCCCATTGCTGTGTTTATTGAAGTTCAGCTTAAATGCCTGTGTTAACTTTAAATGTGCATCTATGGTACAGATGAGCTAACAGAGGACAGCTGTTTGCTAATCACTGTTAGCCTGTAAGGTGAATGAGGGTTGTAAGGATGCTGTGCAGGTGCAGATCCATCCTTGGTTCCAGGTGCTGTATCTCTGCAGCAGACATGCCCTGATCATGAGCTCTTAACTCAGGGCAGCTGAGGACAGCACGTCCTCCTGCTTTCTTATCACTAATACCTTCCCTGCCTGCTTCTAGGGCTCTTTTAAAGGCCTCTGGCTCTCTACCAGAAACAAAGTGTGAGTGCCTATTGAAACAGTCCCTTGCAGTCAGGCAGAATTTCTTCTCTGTGGGAGCAGCTGCTTTTGCTCAACTTAGGTAAGTTTTCCTGACTTCTTCTCTTAGGGACAGAATGCAAGGGTTGCTGGGGCCATCATCAGCAGTTTAATTTGTTTGCTTGGCTACCTTTAGGAAGACCTTTGCTTAAGCCAACTGTAGATTTCCATCCTTCCAGGTAGGAAAGTAGGGAAAAGAATGTGGAAGTGAAAAATGCAGCAGAAGAACTGTTAAAGGACTCCTCAGCTTGCAGGGCTCGTAGTGCAGTGGCACTGCTCCAGCACTGTATGTGCTGTCTGGTGCAGTGTATGAAACTCAGCAGTGGAGTTATGGGGCTCAATTAACACAGTTCATAAACTGTGCAGCTCAATTAAGAAAGCCATGTATGTGGGAAGCAATGTGAGTGTAAATAGATGCCTGAAGTAAAAGATGCAGTTCAAGTGGAAAATGATGCAGGCAGGTAATGAAAGTAGACTAATCCACAAGCAGAATGTGGATGTGGGAGGGTGAGTGCATGTATGTATGTACAGAACTTGATAGAAGTATTAGGTCGATGCCTACCTTTCTTTATTTAGCAATAGGGTTTTCAACACTGAATGTTCCACTTTGGTGTAATTGCATCATTTTGTGCTCTGATTATTGGGCTGTAGCCATTCAATATGGCCCAGAAATACTTCTCATAAGTTAGTCCAGTTTACACCAAAGATTACTTCATAAATGCCTGCATCATTATTCACTCCTTTATCTAGGACTGCAAACAGGGAGAAGGAAACTTGAGGAAATACCTGCTGGGGAACAAAGGTATAAAATCTTCTAATAAGAGTTGCTTAGTTAAGGTCAGTATGCTTTTTAGAGGCTCTTACTCGTGGGGAGAAATGTTTCTTCCTCAGAGGACATCTGTGGTTTTTTTTTTTCCATTGGCCTTTTGTGTCATTGGTTTGCTGGTATATGTGGATTTTTATGAATACTCTAAATTAAAGAGACTCCAGCTTGACTGTGAAATTAATAGAGCTATCAAAAAACCCACTGTCATTATACAACAATTGTTAATTATTTACAAGCAAACTTCTGCAAGAACAGTATTGTAGCTGTCAGCATTGTCGTTATTAAAATTAAACTGCTTTGTCTGAGTAGAAGATAGCATGACTCATTTAGGCTAAGTGCAATGAATACGGAATATTCTGTTTCTCTTCACCAATTAGTCAGGGGGAGAACAATAGCATCTTTCTTTCCTAACAAGAAGTTTATTTAAAGAAGTCTAGCAAAATACATTATTGTCAGGGCTTTGTTCAAGAAGGACACAAATTAATCACAGCTATTATGAAGGTTCAATGCAAGCTTTTTCTAGGATGGGAAGAACTCTTTTCATAAACTCAATTCTCCTTTCCCAGATGGCAAAATGGACGTGAAAACTTCTTGCTTTATTGCAGTACATTGTTTAATATGTGTGTTATGTGCCTTGGAGTCGTGGGTTGCTCAGATGCTCTTTGCTGTCTCTAATTTCATTTGTCTTTCCAAGCTTATTCCGGTTCAGTGGTAATTTGTGCTCTTTGTGTGGTGGGTTACATTTGTTTTATAAACAGCAAGAGGGAAGTCAAGGAGCATCCAAGAGGGCTGCAATGGATGGCTCAGTCAGGCTCCTGGTGGATTCCATTCTGTGCCATCTTGCATCAGCAAAAGTTTCCTCATCTCGGTGGTATTAATGGTGCATAGCAATGAGCCTATTGGTGGAAAAGCAGAAGAATTAAGGTATGAATACGTCAGGGTTGAAAAGGGTGAGGCTGGCGTGGCAAAGCCCTGCAGCAAAGAGACAGATTGGAAAGGATTGAAGCCCGTAGCTGGGGAAGTGCCACATCACTCTGTCTTTCCCCACAGTAACGCCATCAGTCTTCTTTTCAAAGCTCGTTTGGGTCTCTCACACTCGATCTTTCCTTTGCCTTGTATTCCCCAGCCTGCTGTCTTTGCTGGTTTTGTTTCTGCTGCAGATGATTCTGGGAGCAGACAACACTCCCTGCAGAGGAAGATGTATTCTGTGCAGGACCCCTCACTGCTGTGCACCTCTCAACACTGAGAATGGGTGGTCTGAGAAGATGATCAATGCTCATCCTTTTCACATAAGCCTTCTTGAGACTGTAATCAGCCGCGGCTGCAGTTTGAGTAAGCATAAAACTAGCTTGTGCTTCTGCTTTCCTTCTGAATAAAAATTGAAGAGATTGTTCAGTGTGCTGGGGGATGTGTTACTTTGGTTGTTATGAGAATCACAGAATGGCCTGGGTTGAAAAGGAGCGCAATGCTCATCCAGTTCCAACCCCCTGCTATGTGCAGGGTCACCAACCAGCAGACCAGGCTGCCCAGAGCCACATCCAGCCTGGCCTTGAATGCCTGCAGGGATGGGGCATCCACAGCCTCCTTGGGCAACCTGTTCCACTGCCTCACCACCCTCTGTGTGAAAAACTTCCTCCTAATACCCAACCTAAACCTCCCTTGTCTCAGTTTAAAACCATTCCCCCTTGTCCTATCACTATCCACCCTTGTAAAGAGACGTACCTCCTCCTGTTTATACACTCCTTTCAAATATTGGAAGGCCACAATGAGATCTCCCCACCTCCTTCTCTTCTCCAAGCCAAACAATCCCAGTTCTCCCAACCTTTCTTCATAGGAGAGGTGCTTCAGCCCTCTGAAGTTGAAAGTGTGTTTGCAGTGAGTGAAGGAATCAGTATGTGTGAACCAACAGATTGAGACTTAAATTGAATTGGATGCAGAAGTAAAATCCAAGGTCCTCTTTTACTCTTCTAGGCCTAGAGACAGGAGGAAAAAGTGTGTTTCCCTGGGTTAGAGAGAAGATGTGGAGAATGTGCAATCACATTCTTCTAAATAATCTCTTAGCATTGTTAAAGGCATGTTGTGTTCACCCACCATTAAGTTTTGATTTGGTTGTGGAGATAATGCTGGAATGATCTGGATGGGGAAAAAAAGCTATTCTGAGCACATTTACTGTTAAAATTGAAAACTTGTATGACTGAATGCATCTTCTATGGAAAAGAATTCTTTAATCTATGATTTCTAAATTCTCACTGTGCTGTTAAGGGACAAAAGCCCTAAGAAGAATGGTACAAGAATGCCTCCTCCTTCTGTTTGGGCAGGCAGCCTCTTTTCTTCCAGTAGCTGGCTAAGAGTGCCTGCCTTTACCCTTTGCTGCGCCGAGTTGGCTCATTTTTTATTGCTTTGGCCATTATTAGAATAATGTCAGTGCTGGGACAACCCAGTGTGGGTTTGCTCCTGTGTTCTGCCAGGGGAGGGCATCGCCCTGTGTTGGTTCTGCACAATGTGTAGGGTAGGCTTTAGTTACTGCTGATTTGTTAGAAATCTGAAATTTACTTACTGAGAGAAGGTTAAGGGGAAGAGTATATAGATATGCTTAAAGTGGAGGGAAAGCCCTTTTGCTTGCATACAAAATGCTGCTGGAGTGATTTAGATGTGATTCCTCCAGAGCAGCTGGCAAGCTGTAGAGGTGCTTGGGTAGGTCCTGGGCACTGCTCTCACACGAGTGGCTTTGTCTGCAGTGTTGTGGGTTGGTGTGATGCACCCAATGTCACCTGAAGGGGTGCATTTCCTACCAGGTGCCCTGCTTCTTCCCAAACTTTCTTTGGCTGGTGTCCTTCCAAAGACACCAAACAAGGCCAGCCTTCCCACTGGCTCCTGACAAGAGGCCCCATAACTTACATTAACTTCTGCAATTTCCTCGTTGCTCTTAAGCAGGTTATTAATTAACTGAATGTAACCACTGGCTGTTGATAAATCCTTCTAACTAATTCAAATTCCATATCAAAGCTCCGAGCATTTTCACTCAAGCTGCTGCAGCAGTTAATCTTTGTGAAGAATTTGTTCTGATCTGTTTTTGAGTTCTGGAGTTGGGGAAAACGGAGAGAAGATATTTGTTTGCTTGATTCCACATGACAACTCCAGGGTAACTGAATAGACTGTACGGTTGGTTTGACAAGGCTGCGCCCGCGCCAGCAGCCTCACATACCAGAGACCGGGGGATGGAAGGGGATCTGACAGCCCTAATGGATTTTATCAGAATTTCTCTAAAGACCGACAATTTGCCTTCAATTATTAATGTTTTTCCGAGGTTTCTCTTCTGAGAGGTATGAATAACTAACTTAAATACGCATTCATGAAACGTTTTCAATAATGAATAAATTGCTGCGTGGAAAGAAGTTGAGCAGCACATCCAAATATTAAATAATGGAAGAGATGTCTGAGAGTTTATGAAATGTGGTGTTTAATAGCGTGGCTGTTACTGGGATTTCTGTGAATGCAAAGCTGTGGTTATTGCGTGCATAACTGTATTGCAGTAATGTTTGTGCAAAACGTGTTGTAAATGAGCTTAGAGTTTCCTCGAGAGAGGAAAAAAGCAGTGCCTGTGTACCGGGGTGTACCATGGTGTGTGTGTTAGTCCTACAGTGATCGTGGTTCCTTTGGGGCTGTGAATGTGTTTTGCTTTCCCCCTCGTTCTCAGAAGGTGCTCTGCCTCTGTTACTGCCTCACATTTGGGAGCTTTGGGAATGCGGATGGGGAAAGGTGTTGGCCACGTTAATACATGCACTGAAGAGAAATCAGAGTGGATTGCCCTGTGCCTGGGAGGAACTTTAGGGCAGGTGGTGGTTGTTCAGTGACTGCCATTGCAGGTGAGCTTGAGGGACAGGGATTGTGAATCCCTTCCTTGCTCTGCTCCTGCTTTCATTTCCAGAAGGGAATTCAGAGAGCCTTGAGCTGCTGCCTCCCCCAGATGCAGAAAATTGTCTCCATGTGCGTAAGTTACCAGGCAGACATGTTAAAAGAAGTGTAGGTGTTTTTGTCAAGTTAGCAAAGTGTTTGCAGTAGTGTGAGTTAATGAGCATGTAGGTACCTTACAAAGTGTTTGCACAAGTGTGAGTTAATGAGCTTATAGGTGCATTCTTTCCACTCCGCATCAGTTTTGTTCTGTGTGGGTTTTGCAACCCAAGTTTCATCCAAGATCTGTGAGGTCTGGCTTGCTGAAAGCAGCACCTGACCAGTAAATAAATCCTCCCTGTTCAGTCTGTTTATCAGAGGAGAGAATATTTGCATGCCTAGGAGTGCTGAACGAGGGTGGGCTGCTGCCCAACAGCTGCTCTGTTGGAAGAGATGCATCTCAAAGCATGCTGCCTCCCCTTCTTTTACAGTTGCTTCCCTTTTCATTAAAGCTGGATGTCCGGGACAGCCTGCAGCAAGGCAGGAAAAAGAAATTAAGCATAGCGTAATTAGTAGACTTTGTGATTCCTTGTTTCATCATCTGGTGCAGCTCAGCCTCCACAGGACTTCCAGGCGACGTGAAGTGTGGAAACCTGTCATGGCAGCAAAAAGCAGAGGGGCTTCCAGCAAACAATGGGGGTCTTGTGGAAAGAGTTTAAACGTATGCAGCCGACCCCATGGGAACTGCAGTGCTCTATTCACCCTGTGCGAAAATGATGCTCTTTCAAAATCATCTTTAATCCTTCTCTTTCACTGAAAAATGTGAGATCTTTATTTAAAGTTTAGGAGTGCTCTGTTTTTAGGAAGTTCAATGCGTTTCCAACACAAAAATAAAGTGAATTATTGGTGTAACGCACAGGGGAGAGGAGTTGTCCAAAATATCTTGCAATATTCTGTCCCTAAATTATGTAGTGAATATTCTTGGGAAAGTTTCAGGCCAAAAATTAGTGGAAAATGTATCCAGGCTTTTTTTTTCCCCTGCATGGATGCATGTGGAGAAGGAAATATCCATCAGTCCTCGAAGTAGTGGTCCTGTAACTGAGACATGCAGGAAAAATCTGTTCTGTGGAATTAGGATTGAGCTGAGGAGAAGAATTTCAAGAGAAGGGAATGCTGTTGTGTATATACAGAATGGAGGTCTGCTTTGACAGTGATTGCAGTCCTCCTCCTGTTCACAGAGAGCTGAAATAAAACAAAATATGCACTTGCTGAAATCATTTGTCCCCACCCCCAGAGAGAAGGGAAATGGAAACCTCTCTTTGTTCCATCCCTGTGTGTGAATAACATCAAACTCCCACGGAGTTCAGTAGAGCTGTGGTCCCATTTGTGTGGACTTTGGGTTTTGCTTATTTCTTCAAATAAGACCGTGTCCTAAATACTGAACCCAGTGAGATGTACAGTCTTCCTCCTGGTGCTATCATGCAGAATATGTTCTGTTGTCTGCACACGGAGTACTGAAAAGGCACCAAGTTACTGATACTGGTTTGCTTTTGCATCTTCCATCCAAGGCATCCCAAGCACTTCGTACCATCCGGTGTGTAGAGCATGGCAGCGCATCTGTGAGGTAAGCACATCGATTCTATTGATGTATTTATTTATATTTCATGGGTAGAATAGGTGAAGCATTAGGTTGTGATGTGCCTGGGATTGCTATGGGCCAGCAAGGCTGCTGGCCTCCCAACCCTGTAATGGATGTCCCTTTCTTCAGGGAGAATCCTGAGAGCACCTTCCTCTCGTGTATGTTGCTTAGTGTACAGCGAATCAGCAACATCACAGCACAATTCTTGCTCTTCTATTTTTAGTGGGATAGCACAATTTCATTGTATTTTGTCCTTCTAATGTCTTTCTGCAAAACCCAAATTTCTGATAAAATTCAAGGCTCAGTTTTTTTTGCTTACAGTTCAATTGGCTCTCGGATGCCCTTAGGTCCAAGTGCCCTTTCATGTGGAATTTTTATTGTTAATCTTCTATTATTGGGTGAATTATTTTGCAAACAGACCAATTCAATTGCTTCAAGCTCTGAACCTGTCAGGCTAGCTTTTATTCTGATTGCTTCTGATAAGAAACTTTGGTAAGAATGCTGTGCCTCCAGCAAGTTACCGGGTTCACCTTGATGGGGAGCAGCTTCAAGGTCCCTGGAAACTCTCAGTTTGTTATGAAAAGAGAATCTAGGTGCAGAAAAATCTCCTTCAAAGCTTTGCTTTTGATGTGGGAGTGCACCCCAAACAAGTGGCAGTGCTCTGTGGTGTGTGCTGAGTCTCACTTTTGGCATAGCGATGACCTGAAGGTTGCAATGAGAGCCAAAGTCACCGCTTTGTTCCCATGTTCTGAGCACACGAAGGGGCAGATCCCTGCTGCTGACCTGCAGACTCTGAGCTGATGGGGGTCTGTGTGGGAATCTTGGGAACTTTGGCAGCATCTTTGACCTGTTTCCTCTTGATGGAGTGCATGGTGTCCATCTCAGATGCTGCCCTGAGAGACAGAGATGTCTGTCCTGGCTGAACAAGACGATGCTGACAGGTAATGGGAAGTCAAACTGATGAGGCACCTCATAAACCATGCCCTGAGTTTAACTGTCCAGGCTGCCTTTCTTAGAACCCAAACGAAACAACAAAATGCTTTACAAGATACCAGCAGCAGCACGTATCATCTGCAGAAGGCCAAGGAGGGGCGGCTGTGTTTCGGTGCCGCAGCTCAAAGAAAAGATTCAGTGGGTCTCCATTCCTGAATTTAAATAATTCCGTGAGCAGATTTTGTTGTGCTACCTCTGAGTGCAGCGTTAGAAGCCAAAGCAAACTTCAGACCCTCTTTTATATTCATGGGAAGTGTTACAGAATGACAGCATTTTTCCTTTGGAAAGACAATCTCCTCTACAGCAAAGGAAAAGAACAAGTGAACAAACAGTGTGAGCTCACTGAGGGCTTTTTTTTACCTTCTTCCCAGGCAAGGATAGCTTTCCACTAACACAGAGAGTTCTGTTTTCTCTATTAAAAACAACTGCACTCAAGTGGAATAGGCTTTGTATTTTGTCCCAGAAACAGAGTTTCATTCAAAGATAAGGCCTCTCTGCCTTATGGTGCCTGTAGTCACCTGATGGGGCCGCTGGTAACTTTTAGGCTGCTTTAGTCTGCATTCCTGAGATGCTTTACTCCTGGCACTGCAATTAACAGCTTCAGGTTCACTGCCTGCCACCAGATCCCCTGCTTGCCACCCGTGCCCTTGGATGTTGCCCGCGGTCGCAGGAGAGCAAAGCAAATAGGCTTTGTTACCAAGAATGCAAACTTTGAACCCATAGACATCATTGAGGATGCCGTTGTGGAGTTGTGAGCAGGTAAAAAAAAGGGGAAAAAAAAAAAATAGTTTATAGCTTTTTGACGTTTTATTTTTAAAGTTGAGAATTGTTGAGTGTGAGTACGATGGGCCCAGTCTCCCAGTCTGGAAGCATGCTTGGAGGATATCTTGCTATCCTTGAAATCAGGAAACACTTTTTGTGAATAAGTGCAGAAAGAGGGAATTGTTGCCTTTTTGGCAAAATGTTTGTGTTCTAGTGCATGGTCTCAAGTTTGGCAGTGCCCAGCTGATGGATGTGTGTGCCCAGAGCTGTCTGCTGGTTCTTGACACCTCTAGCAGGTTCATCTAGTGCAAACCTGAGTGAAAAGGAGGTCATACTGATGGGGCCTTTTCTAAAGCTTAAACACAGAGTGTTTGTTGTACTTGGGAAGAGTGTTGTTGCCTTTGTCTGTAGTGAAAGTTCAGGAATTTGGTGGAAAAAGGTTGTTTTACTTAAAAATTGCATGGTGTTGGTGGGAAAGGATAGGAGAAATGCACTGCAGACTGGAGCTGAGGGACCACCCTTGTCCTGCTCCCACCACTAGAGCTGTCATGCAGCCTCTTGGACGTTCAAGGACAGGTATTCTCTGCATGCAGACATTTGCACCTGTCTTTGCAATGTCCAAACAAGGTGTTCTGGGCCCAAGGGACTCTGTCCTTTCCTTGGGACAGGGTCTGAGGTTGGCCATGAAAACTCTTGCTTTGAAGATGGATGAGCAGAGGGTCCTGTCCACATGAGACAAGACCTGGCAGCCCTCAAATAGCAAACAACACTTCTGAAATGGCAGGAAAATCAACAAACCTCTCCTGTAATTAAGTCAAACATCTCCTCTGTGGAAGCTTTAATCACCACAGTTCTGGGACATGAATGCAGGATTGTTGTCCTTTGTGAGTGCCTGCTGAGCCTGGCCCTGCTTGGCTTGTCTTCTGTTGCATTCCCCAGCCAAGGAGATGTCCATAGCTTCAACTCAGCCAAATGTTTGTTTTACATGAGCTGGAAAGTTTGCAGGGATCGTTTTGACATCAAAAGTAACTGTTTTTTCTAAACAAAAGTCATTATCTTGATCTTACAAATAGCATATTTCTTGAGTCAGGACACAAACCCAGAAAACCAAGCAGCCCAGCACACCTGCTGTACTGCTGACCAGAGAAAGGAGGTTGGCACTATGTTTCAGGCCCAGTCAACCTTTTCTTGTTTCCTGGTGATACGCATTGAAAGGACAAACTTGTTTTTTATTTAATAAAAGCGGTGTCGTTTAGCTAGTTAGTGTTTGAGTGCAAAAGTCCTTCAGCATGCAGTTCATGGTAGGTGCTTAAGGACATCCCTAGGTCAGGGGGTTCTGCATGCTGATTATACGTACTATTTAAAAATCTTCACTAAACTGGATGGTAGTGAGTACATCAACTACTGTTTTCTTCTTGTTTTTCTCCCCCTTTTAGATTGAGGAATTAAGTCTTGAAATATGCTGCAGATTTATTCTTCGTGTTGAATGGATGGCTGATGGACAGGATTGTTTCCATTCTGCCCTCATCTAACTCCTTCGAGCACATGGTGTGTGCAGAGGCCTGGCTGAGTGGCAGCAAGTGCCACCATGCACCATTTATTTGGGCTGGTTTTGGCACAAAGGGACCTTTCACGTGCAGGGGATCTTTTCTCCTTGGATGATGCTGAAATCGAAGAAGGCCTCTCTGAAGCTCTTGAACAAATAAGGACAATTAGTTCATCTGCTGTAAGTGGAACGCTGTTCTGTAATTAGTGAGATTAAATGTATTGTATTAACAAAGTGTTAAAGATGGGGACGTGCACAATTTAAGATTTTAAACTCAAGAATGCCAAGCAAAATATAAGATAAACATTCTGCTTCCTTTCCTTTGTCTGGGGCTGGCTCCAGGCTTGGAGGCTGCTGCCAGGGCACTGGTTAAAATAGAATAGAATAGCTCAGGTTGGAAAAGACCTTAAAGATCGAGTCCAACCACAACCCAACCATTGTACCCTAACAGCCCTCTGCTAAATCATGGCCCTGAGCACCGCATCCAAACGGTTTTTAAACACATCCAGGCATGGTGACTCAACCACCTCCCTGGGCAGCCCATTCCAGTGCTTACACCAGTGCTCCACTGGCTCCATTGTGGAGAAGTGTGTGGTTACACAGTGGTTGGTGCGCTCCTGAAGGACAGCAGTCCATTGCCAGTGCCCAACCCTGGTATCTTGTCCCCGTGCCATCCCCTCATCCTTGTGTTTTGCCTTTAACTCGTGTCTGGTTACAGAACAAGTTGCATCCAGTTTA